GATTATAGTAGAAGCCGGAAAGTTGGAACATTCTTGTCCTCATGCCCTCAAGGTAAAGTATAGGGGATCCTAGCACTAATCATACTAAATCCTTATTACTGGTAAAACTTTCTGGGATTCACAATATGAGGTGAGGATTTAAGGTTTACTTGGAGGATCCTGGGACTTAGTAAATACAGTTTTAAGTACCCTGACTGGAGCTTTGATAGGTTGGGTCTTAGGGGCTAAGCAGTTCAGGGTTTAGGGGGATTGGGGGGTAGGGTGTCCCAGCAATTCTGCTTGGCTTCCCCCGCTACTATATTCGTCGGTGTCGCCCTAAAGCGCAAACCCTACAAGAACTGGTTTCAGAAAACTAGGGATTCCGCATGAAGGAGTCCCTAAAGTACGGATCCTAGCATTTGGGTTCTATCAGGAAGGTGCCCATATAAGCCCTACGAAGTCCTTCTTGAAACCCTACAAATCCTTACCCAAAATATGAAGGGTCTCTACGATGCATGAAGCCAGGAAGCGCAGAAGAGGCAAGGAGGTCACGTCGTACATGAAGTTCGCCATGTAATTCTCACCAGCCACAAGCTTGCCTCAGAATGAGATGGCAGCAGACATGATAATACCGGGGCCGTGTATTCGGGTTGACTTACCTGCCGCAGGCTTTCACTCCAGGGCTGGTGCCAACATCAGTCTCGTCTGCTGCTTCCTGGCTCATGGGTGACACGCGCTGGCACGGCAAGCGGCAATCGACAAGCTGCGTCGGAAACAGAAGCCTAGAGACTCTCAAACCCCTTAATTAAGGAATATACCTTAAATCATATTAGGGATCCTATTATAATTTAAGGTATATTCCTTAATTAAGGGATATTGGAGTCTCTGGGAGCAGTTCTCAGTCGCTCGCTTGCATTGGCACAATCGGGAGTTCTTGCCACGGCAAGGCATCTGAGTTTTTGCCAGGTGGAACCTGCAAAGACACATCTCGAAAGCATAGGCAACGGAAGGAATGAAGGCTCGTGCCTCCTTGTACCGGACCTGAAATTTGCTGACGAAGCCTGGGGCAAGAAAAAAAGCAGATCGGCAAACACTAAACCCCAAATCCTAAACAGCAAGAGACCAGGGCCCCGCACGAATCGCACGTACAAGTCCCTATCATATAATTACGAAGGAATGCTATAAACTCTGGGACGTAGAACCTACTGCAAAAACTCTGCTCCACTGTGAAATACGACAATCTGCTAGAAAATGTTGTGATACACTACAACTTATCTTACATTTATATAGTCTACTACAGAAGACCCCTACTTAGAGGATCATGGCACTTTAGTAAAGTAAGGTAACTAAGGTAACTATACTTATAATATAAGCAATTATAACCCCAATTGCGGTAGTTATAACCCTACTTACTAAGTCCCATGATCCTCCAAGTAATCCCCTTGTCAAAGATCTTCACCGAGTTGGTTTCGCGCCGGGTGCCTTCACCGACTTTGCGGCCCTAAGCCCTAAACCCTAAACTCTAAACCCCTAAGCCCCTTAGGGTTTAGGGTTTAGGGTTCAGGGTTTAGGGTTTAGGGTTTCCTAAACCCCTAGGGCTCTGGGGGCAAGAGGCCAAAAGAAGGCGCTCGCCAGTCCATGCGCCAGGAGAGGCGGGCAACGTGGCGAATCTCATGGACGACCCACTCGTCCTGGCATTGGGTTTAGGGTTTGGGCTTTGAAGAATCCTAAACCCTGCAACCCAAACCAAAAAGCCTACAGACTCGACAACCCCTTCATCAAAGAATATACCATGAAGCAGAATAGCATCCCTAACATGATTTAGATTCTCTTCTTCAAATGAAGGCTTTCGGAGTCTCTGAAAACCCGATACCCTTCACTAAACCCTAAACCCTACTTGGAGAATCATGGGACTTAGTAAGTAAAGTTATACCTACCTCAATTGGGGTTATAACTTCTTATAAGTATAGTTACCTTACTTGTAACCCTAGTTACTAAGTCCCAGGATCCTCCAAGTAGACCCTAACCTTAAACCCTAAACCCTGAACCCGAAACCCTAGACCCTAACCCCTAGACCCTAAACCCTAAACCCTAGACCCTAGACCCTAAACCCGAAACCCCTAGCCTTAAACCCTAAACCCTGAACCCTAGACACTTAATCCTAAACCCTAAACCAAAAGGCTGAAACCCTCAGAGCCACGGTTTAGGGTTTAGGGTTTAGGGTTTAGGGTTTAGGGTTTAGGGTAACGTTTGCGCCCACCTGCATCTGCCCAGCAGGGTCCTCCTGCACCAGCTGTTTTGGAACATTTCTTGGGGCTGATGCTTAGGGTTTAGGGTTTTGGGATTTAGGGTTTAGGGCTTAGGATTCAGGGTTTAGGATTTAGGGTTTAGGGTGAAGGGTTTCGGCTTTAGGATTTAGGATTTAGGGTTTAGGGTTGAGGGTTAAGGGTTTAGGATTTAGTTTAGGGTTCGGGGTCTAGGATTTAGGGTTTAGGGTGTTGATGCAATGCGGAGGTTACCAGGTCTTCCTATACCCGTTAATTACGGACTATACCGTAAATTCAAGTAGGATCCCTAAATCCTTAAATCAAGGAATTTTGGAGAATCTGGGTATAGAGCCTCAGAGGCACCCTTATCAAGCTCATGAGAGCCACAACAGTCCCCAGGCGCCTGGGGCATGTCGACGAGGCCGCGGTGGCTGCCTTGCAACGAGCTACCCTAAACCCTAAACAAGGGTTCAGGATCGAGGGTTCCGGATCCCATGGGTTCCCTAGCATGAGTTCCTTATACATGTCGTTGGGTTTAGGGTTTAGGGTTTAGGGTTTAGGGTTTAGGGTTTAGGGCAAAGGCAGGGTACTTTAGGGTCCAGGTAAACCCTAAGCCCAATTGCATTGATGCTTCCGCTCAACAAAAGATGCGTCCAGATCGACTCTGGTGTGATTAAGTTAGTTTGTTTGAAAGGGCTTTTGGTGTCTGCAAACGATTTCAGCTTTTTGTTTTTGTTGTGGGCCCTTTTCCACCTGCATAGCAGACAGAATTCCTTACCGATTTCAGGCTTTGGGGTTTAGGGTTTAGACAAACCTGCTGCAGCTGAATCATCAACCCTAAACCCAAAGTCCTAGACCCTAAACCCTAAACTCTAAACCCTAAACCCTAAACTCTAAACCCTAAACCCTTGCTCTGAACCGACATTCATCTCCACACCGTCTCCAGGGCTGCTGCTGGAGCTGCAGTTTACCACCACATGTTGTACCTGCCGGGTTTAGGGTTTAGGGTTTAGGAATTAGGGTTTGGGTTTAGGGTTTAGGGGGTTTAGGGTTTAGGGTTTAGGGTTTAGGGTTGGGATGCACAACAGGGCCTCTTCCATAAGATCTTTCAAAGTCCCTTAAGGAGTATACCGGAAATTTATCGTAGGATCCCTGATATGACTTCCGGTATGTATTCCTGAAGATACCAGAAATTATAGTAGGATCCCTGATAAATTTAAGGTATATATTCCTGAAGTAAAGGATTTTGGAAGACCTGGGTGAACAGCAGCAGGCTGCTAGGTCCGCATGTCGGCGCTTACGGAGCCTTGGGAAAGGAAGCTCCTATGGGGCTGAAACCCTGGAACTGAGACCCTGAACCTTCCAGCGGTTTAGGGTTTAGGGTTTCGGGTTTAGGGTTGTTTTTTGGGGTTCTCCAGACTCTAAACAACCGAACCCTGAACCCTCAAACCCTACACCCCCTAAACCCCTAAAGCCCAAACCCTAAACCCTAAACCCCTAAACCCTAAACCCTACACCCCCTAAACCCCTCCAAGTAGTCAGAGGCACGCTGCAGCAAGCAAAGCCCGGGGCACGGAAACCGGAGAGCAGGCTGGAGCGACATGGATGCAGAGTGCGCGGGAAGGTGCGGACCTCGAAAGCGACAACCCACCCTAAACCCTAAACCCTAAACCCTAAATCCCTTAAACCCTAAACCCTAAACCCTAAACCCTAAACCCTAAAGGCAATCGCAAGGATCTAGCGCTGAAGGCTTTTGGGCTTCAAGGCCTTGGATGGCGGCCAGGGGGTTCAGGGCTTTCGGGCTTTGGTGCAGGAAGGGCTTTGGTTTAAGGGCTTAGGGTTTTATGGGTTTAGGGTTTAAGGGCTTAGGGTTTAGGGGTTTAGGGGTTTAGGGGTTCAGGGGTTTAGGGGTTAGGTGTTTAGGGGTTTAGGGGTTTAAGGGTTTAGGGGTTTAAGGGTTTTGGGTTTAGGTGTTTAGTGTTTAGGGGCTTCGGTGTTTGGGCGTTTAGGGGTTTTCTGGTTTAGGTG